TTGCATCCATTGTTCTGGGTCCTTTTCTCTGGAGCAGCAGAAAACAAGTTCACTCCCTCCTCAATATAACATCCCTTCAAATATTTAAACAGAGCTATCATATCCCCTCTTAACCGTCTCTTCTCCAGGCTAAACATACCCAGTTCTCTAAGTCTTTCCTCATAAGGCATCGTTTCCAGATCCAGACTTAAAAGAAGGTAGAATTCAGAGACATAGGACCTTATCCCACGCTGCTCTCAAAAGTGGCAAGAAACCGATATGAGCATCATTGCAGTACTATAGCGCTAGTATAATATGGCGCTAGCGCTATAATAGCGCTATGGATAAGGTAGCGATATTGCAATGCCCGATGAAAACAGGCATACAAAAGAACCCGAATGATGCTGCATTCCGAGCGGTTTCTTGTTGTATTCTGAGCGACGTCGTGGGATCACCCGGAAAACTATAGCGCTATAGCGCCTGATTCTTAGCGGATTCCGAGCGACGTCGTGCGATCACCCGGAAAACTATAGCGCTATAGCGCCTGATTCCATGTGGATTCTTGCTGCTTTTGGCCCCGTGGGATAAGGTCCATAGCCATGTTAGTCTGGCATGTCATTGTGCAAAAGGATCTTGTGGCACCTTTGAGACTAACTGGGTGAAAGAAGTTGTAGCATAAGCTTTGGTAGATATGGTCTACTTCTTCAGATGCATGGAGGAAGTAGATCAAGGAGCTTATCACACAAGGCTCATAAAGTACAATTACAGTAAGATAATAGCATCTTTGACAGGTACTTAGCACATGACTTTGTGTCTCTCCTGTTGCTTCTTTGCATTTCAATTGTTGGGGGAGAGCAACTTTTCATTGATGGAATCTCCATCATATCAAATTCCTCAAATATGGTATGAGGGCAGGGGAACAGAATAAAAAGCAAGTATGGGAGGATGAGAGCCAGTGTGGCATAGTGGTTTGAGTGTTGGACTACAACTATGGAGACCAGGGTTTGATTCCCAGCTTGGCCATGGAAACCCACTGGATGAACTTGGGCAAGTCACACTCTCTCAGCCTCAGGGGAAGGCAATGGCAAACCTCCTCTGAATAGAAGCGATAGGTTTGCCTTACGGTCACCATAAGTCGGAAACAACAAACAACATAGGAAGATATAGAACAGAAGTTAAAATGACATATTTATCCATCCACAACACAATCTATGCTGCGATTAGAGAATAGAAAATGTATTGCTCTTGGACTAAAGCTCCCAGAATCCACATGGTAACTAGAGAATTCTGGGTTTGTAGTATGGGTACCCTTCAATGGTACAATGAAATCCTGATCCTGAGTTCATGTTAGTTTATATTTCCTCTTTCTCTCAGAGTAAGAAGGCCCACTGAGTTCGGAGGCTTATCTTCTTCCCAAGGACGTGGCATCTTGCATGATGAATGAGTTGGCAATACCCTGCCTAATTACACCAACAACTTGTCGCCCAGTAATGGGAGTCCATTATCCCATCATTGCTATCGTGTGTGCGATGTGAAATTGACCCATTTGGATGACGCCGCACAGTACATCATTGTTTGCTCAAAAAAACCCTGCCAGGAACCCCTGAGCCAAGGTTGCAGAATCAAACCACTAAACCCATTGCCAGTCAACCTGATTTCTGGAACTGCTGCAAGATCCCAAGAGACTGGGCTGATCCTCAGCTGGTTGAGCAACCATGGTCAACCAGTGCTCATTAATGGCTCTGGCGGGAATTATCACGGGAGATGGACGCTCCCATACCCAAATTAAGTCCTTTCTAGGCCATTGCACAAGGAGGTACCCAGTACCTCCCAGTGGTGTCTCAAG